AATATGCATCACATGTTCACTTTAATAACATGGAAACAACATTATGCATAGTTACTAATCAACAGGAGAACTTCTCAGTGTACTCAAACATTTGTGTAGAGTCAGGTCTAATAAGATGACTAGATTTTCTAAATCTAAATTTGCAGTAGCCTAAAAGACCAAAAGTATTGATGTGAGTGTCAGCAGGTTTTGTGGATAAACGGATCATCTGTCATACCAAAAACAAAAAACAAAAGTGAATGAAGCTAAAAGCACTTTCAACCTTTGAGAGGTTTAAAGTGCTCTTAAAAGAGGGTCAAAATGCACACCTATTGAAAAAGAACTCAGCTGTTATGAATACAGTGATAGATGCCTCTGCTCTCTTCTTACTGGTCCACTTTGGCTTCAGTCCTCTAGTATATATTTAAAGAAAAAAATAAATTAAAAAAAATATCACGGGACACATTTGTTGTATTCAGGCCTTGACTAAACCTTCCTAATAATACTACAGTACATGGCATTTCCTCAGGCGTACTAAAACAATGATGTAATCTAGAACAGACTGATTTGTGGTTATCGGGTAACTGACACTACATAGGTTGTGAACATCAACTGCTTCTGCTAATGAAAGGAGGGGCTGTGTCAACTGGTGGAGGAAAAGATGACACTGTTGGTGTCAAGGTCTGTGTTAATAGACTTCTCTGCTGAATCACACTTGTTATTAATCTCTCGCTCTCTTCCACAGCATGTCTTTTATCCTGTCTTCCTTCTCTCACCCCAACCGTTTACAGCAGATGGCCCCGTCCCTCCCTGATCCTGGTTCTGCCGCAGCTTTCTTCCTGTTAAAAGGGAGTTTTTCCAAAGTGCTTGCTCATAGGGGGGTCATATGATTGTTGGGGTTTTTTTTCCTCTGTATGTATTATTGTAGGGTCTACCTAATAAAAAAGCGCCTTGAGGAGACTGTTGTTGTTATTTGGCACTATTAAAAAAAAAAATTGAAATAAATCAATACTGTTGCGAATGAGTACTATTAATACAACACTGAGCTTTAGTATCATTTAGTATACGAAAATCCTTTTTTTAGCACCTTTAATGTTAAAACTATCTATGGTTACACATTATCTGAGCAGTCGATCTCAGAAGACACTGCACTACTTCCTGTTTTAGTTAGTTTTTAAATCATGGGAAAAAAAAAAAAGTAATTTCAAAACACCATTTGTCAGTAGGAGGAATGAACAACTATTACAAACCAGTTCGATTTGCTGATAGTGTAAACATTACCTAGTGTTTGATAGTAAACCTCCCAAATGCGTATACACATACAACCTGTCATTCACACACCTGGGAAAAGAGAGTCCTGCCTCCTGCTCTGACTGCAGTGCAGCATCTACCATATGAAGATCAACTCTTAACTGGCAGTTCTTAGAAAGATTATCGCTCAAGAGATGTTGCCAATCTCAGGTGATCTTGACATTTGAGTTTCTGAGGTGCTGTTTAGAAAAAAAATAGAGATTGAAAACAATTAGATTCTTCCTTCTCACTCAAATCCTTGAGTGAGAAGGAAGAATCTAATTGTTGCATGCTTCCTACTATGAAATCGTTGCTTGTAATCTAGATACAGACTTGCTTGCAGTCTTATAGTTTTCCTATGAGGCAGTCTCCCCTGAGACAGAGAATAGACTGTACGTCTTTCTACTTAGCAGGGGGTTAACCCTCTGCTCCACAGCTTCTTCCTAGAATAAGAAAAAACTAGGAGCATTCTTATGGAGCATCGACCTCAAGCTGGGATCAAACATGCAGAACAATTTATTTATTTACTGATGACTCAAAAATATAAATGTCTTAATGGGAGTGTTTTAGATGGCATCTAAAACAGTGGCTTAATATTTAGAAGACTATTTCTTTCTTATTACAGTTATGGAATAAGCACGAATCAGTTTAGCACTGAACTTTGGTTTCTCTTTTACTGCAAGCAGATTTTCCCACAAACACAGAAAGCCACCTCTGGCTAATAATATAGCTGATAAGAATAATAACAGTATTGAGATTCATGTCTGAAGCCCAAACTGTGGTACTTCCACTGATTTTTCTCTCCAGTCCACACAAATGTATATCACATTTATCACTAAACGGTTGATTTATTAATTTGTTTCCATCAAAAAACAAAGAACTAAAACTGCTTTAAAGTCTCAGAGTGTGTTTCTGCACTGGTGATGTGACAATGCCAGTTACAGCCAATCAGCAAATTATTAAAGAGAAAAAACAAAACAAAAAACAAAACACACACATTCGCAGCAGTTTCATTGGGAAGGGAGAGGGTGAGCAGTTCGTCACCCATGAATAGAGAACGAACTATACAAATGTGATCTTTCACTGAAATGACTGGAATATCCTGTTGAGTGAGTTGGTCTGTCATGTGACCTACATGTTCATACTTTTAGAATTTCACACCCATGGTAAATCAATAATTAGTCATCATTCAGAAAAGTAATCTAGTGACAACATAATCTACTCTTGGTGCTATATGATATTAAGAGCACATATCTTTAAGATCTGACCTGAGCTGACCCAGCAAGCCTGATTTTTTATTCCCTGCTAAATGAATGATTAGAGAGACAATCCAGCACATAACAGCAGGGTGCAAGATGCTAGCAGGCAAGGCATACACATACACACACACAAAAAAAAAAAAAAAAAAAAAAAAAAAAAAAAACACCCAGCACGCCCCTGTGGGCGGTTTATCCTTCAAGCTCGGGTCCTCTACCAGAGGCCTGGGAGCTTGAGGGTCCTGCGCAGTATCTTAGCTGTTCCCAGGACTGCGCTCTTCTGGACAGAGATCTCCGATGTTATTCCCGGGATCTGCTGGAGCCACTCGCCTAGCTTGGGAGCCACCGCACCTAGTGCTCCGATTACCACGGGGACCACTGTTACCTTCACCCTCCACATCCTCTCGAGCTCTTCTCTGAGCCCTTGGTATGTATGTATGTATGTATGCATTTATGTATATACACACACTTTTTGCTGTTGTTAAAACTTTGTACCCACCCCCCTTTATATTTTTTCTCTTGTTTCTATAGGTTTCGTTTCATCTGACTCTTGATTTCTTCTCACTTTGCTTGAAATTGTTATGAATTGCTTCAATACACTTCTGTAAACAGTTTACATGCACAGTGATCTATAAGTCAAGGACTTTTATTGTGAAAGGGAGGAAGAAGCCTCGTTTGCCCTTGTGCAGAACAAATTCTGGTACAGAGCAGACATTGTGCCAATCTGCCTTTGAAACCAGAAGCCACTCCCACATGCCGTTTAACCCTTTTGGTTTGTGAGGGACAGCCAATCCCAAGAAAGCTGGTTTAAGTCTCATCTGAAATTTCCCCTTGTGGGACTAATAAAGGTATATCAATCAATTCAATTCAATCCTGAAGGGCATGATTAGTTAAAATGGCTTCTGTCACATAAAAGACGAATGAAATACGGATTATTTTGACATGAGTCAAAACAGGTCCTCCATACACCCAGTCACTGACCTCAGTCGTGAACTGCATCCAAATGAGGCACAATTTAAATCAAAAGTCTTGAAAAACTTGTTTTTACATTGTTTTTCTTAGGTGCTGTTGTTGCTTCAAGAGACAAACACCAACATCACAAACAGCTCATGTGAAACGGTGTGAAAATATGTGTTTACATAACTGCCACGCAGATCCTCCATCAGCCATAAGCAAGACAAGGCATTAAAAATGACAAATTAAAGGAAAAACCCATACGCTTGGCCTCTATAGTGTGGGGATCCAGTGGTAGTAAAAGGCAGGGTCTGGCATCTTTTGGGTCAATCTGACTCCTTTGTAGTCATAGCACCCTCACCCACATTTTGTCAGCCCCCCCCCCACCCATCCAAATTTGTCAACTACATGCATGTGCAGATCTCACAGCTGACAGACAAAGGGGTCCAAAAGTAATTTCCTTTGTACTTACAGCTTATCAGTCACTAACCCTCAAAGTCCCACAGAGCATTTTGTTAGAGCAGTTGTGTAAACTTTCTGTGCAGAGACGCAACCAACAAGCAAGGACACACGTGAGAGTGGGCAAGCCATGTAAATGTGAACTGTGTCTGCAAGAGATTTATGCAAACTCCCTCCTCACACGCACAGAAACACAGAAACCTGCAGGACCTGGCTGGGTGTGGATTCATTTTACAGAGACGGAAGGGGGCATGTTTCCCCCCAGTCTGCAGCCCCCCTCTCCCGGGACAAGACGGACCAGTTTCCTTCTCTCGCCTTCTTTCAGAAACACGCACACAGGCACAGGCCTTGAATCATTCATTAACAGGTCTGACCCCTCCACACCCACCAGAGCTCACCAAAACCCCACAGGTCTCTCATGTCACCTGTTAGCCCCTCCCTCCTCCACCTAGGAATTACACAAGCATTGCTTTTCCATCACCAACCCCTTACTCCCGTCCTCAATGATCAATACCAGTTACCTTTTTCTCGTTACCTAAGAAGGAAAACGCCCAATAAAGTCAAATGAGAGCGGATTATACACCTGTTGCTCCAAGAGCCCGGGACTAGTTTCCTTCTCCTAAATCTGGGTCTGGAATCAAATGAAGTCTATAAACACTTCTAAACCTCCTTACAGTAGAAAATGTGAGACTATTGACAGCTTTTTAACAAGGTGTGAGGAATATTGATCTCACCTGGCAGGGCTCGTGGGGAGGGGGTGGGCAGGGGGGATTAAAGACGCCAAATGACAAACATGCTAGAAACTTCTGAAAGTTGACAACGGAAATCTGGGATCGATTTACATTTTTATGACTCTAAAGTCCACAGAGCTAAGTTAACAAGAAAGATATTAAACTTTAACCTTTCAACAGGTGTGTGGTTCAAAAATGAGATATCACTTTAACACATCTTTAACTACATCGACAGAAGATGCGGGAAAAAGGTTTTATTTCTTTTCCTCTTAAGTTGTTTACTCTGAGGTCAGCGGTGTCATCCTAGCTAGTTAGGGAGGAAGGGAGGTACCTGTGCCTCGCCGGTGCCGCTGTCTCTGTTCAGTTCCCCGATGTAGTACTGCTCCATCCACCGCCGGGCGTTTTCCGAGTGCCGGTGTGGGGGTCCCTCCATCGCCTGGCGCACGTCCTTGCCGGAGCGGCTGCGTATTAGTGCCTCCCCACCCGGGTGCATCCGCAAGAAGGCTGTCACATCGTAAACCCTGGTCCCCATCAGCACCCAGCAGGACTCCTTGGTGCAGTGGCGGGCTACCTCCCTCTCCGTGAAGAAGCGGGGGGACGTGGACGGAGACATCCTGTTAGTGGAGATGTAAAAAGGTCCACCTGAATTGAAAACTGAGAGCAAGTCCTCCTCAGTGGACAGTCGACCTGACTAATGAACTGACTTTCGTAATGACACCGGAGGCTTTAAACTCCTGCCGTTCGCGAGACACGGACGAGAGAGGCGGGGTTTGTGAGGCGTTCACCAAAGTCGTAGTTAGTAGGTCTTAAACTGACTTACAATCACATCTGCATATACGCGCATCGAAAACTTCTAAATAATATGCTACGATGATTACTTATTCTTTTTTTTATGATTGCAGATTTTTAATATTTTATTTTAATATTTTATGACAGTAGCCAGAAAAGCCGTTATATTTACACAATAGCAAAAGCAAACCCTCCCCGAATACAGCATAACTCTCCTAAGCACCTGTTGCTGTTAAACCGATACAAGCGACACAACCGCTTAAGAAGTCTGTTCCGTGGACCCAACCTGCTGCTAAAGACTATTATAAATTGCTTTACAATATAATAGCTGAAAATTAACATCTCTCATGTTGATTATTTCAAATGAAACCGTTAAAGGACGTCAGTCAGCTGACATCACATTCATAAAGAGGAGTCACGTTATTGGTCATCACTTCCTGATCAATAAAAATCTGGCGTTTGCTGCGCAGTTTTTCAACGTTAAATAAATATTTCCTTCCTTTTATAAAAGACCACGTATGTATTCACCCCTGAAATTTTCATGTTAACATCAGGACGCGTTGAATGTATCATGTTGAAGGGGTAGTCTATAGTTTTTAAAGGGTCTCTGAAATTTCATCTAAGGTCGCTGTTGCATTCACGTGGTTTTGGAAAAAGTGCTTTTCCAAGTGTAAGTAAATTTGGTACTAAGAAGTGCTACGAAATCGTGTTTATGAATTCTTTTCTTTAAATAAACAAACCTTTTTTTTTTTTTAAATAAAACACTCGTTTCTAATTTGTTATGTTTGGCGAGAGAAGAACGTATCGTTGTTATAATGATTGTTATTGTGTATTTATTTTACAGCTATTTAAAAACCAATTTAATGTAAATATTAAAAAAAAAGACGAAACTTTGGTTTGGACGGCCTATTCAGACTTTTTTTTAAGTTATTTACGTTTGGATGCTAAATGAAAACCCCGATGTGGTTTGCGTGCCATCCGTGCCCTAAACACACACACCCGCCCTCTCACATCATCTATAATTGACTGAGACAGGACTCTTCCAGACACTAAACCAAGGCACAATGTACATTTCAATTCCTTTAATTTTAAATATGTTTATATTGTCTATCCTGTAAAATAGTCAGATATCTATTCATATTAATGTATAGAATTCACCTGCTTGCTGCTACTACTGCACATTCACCCAGTGTATATACTATATATATATATATATATATATATATATATATATATATATATATATATATATATATATATATATATATATATATATATATATATATATTATACTATATATATATATATATATATATATATAATGTTCTTCCTCTACACCCCCCCCCCCCCCCCCCCCCCCCCCCCCCAATTTTTGCACATGTCGAGGAGCGTGTCAGGCTACATTTCACTGTGTGTTATACTTGTATAACTATGCATGTGACAAATAATAAAGAACCTTGAAGAACCTTGAACCTTGGTTGTGAATTGTTATGCTTTAATTGGACAGAGATGCGGTAATTACGTGAGCGTGAAGGCGACATAAGACCCAGCCTTTGTCCAAGAGCGCCGACCTGCGTCTTTCGTTAAATATTAGTTAAAACGGTGTCAAAACCTCGGTGGAAAAAGTGATCGAAATATGAAGTGCAATTAAACTATTCTGTGACTCATAGTGGCGTCATATGACTCTTTGCTGATGATGGGTATGTCATGCCTGATAATGAATGTTTTAAAATCTGTGGCCGTTATTCTGCATTGAATGCTTTATCATTTTAATACTTTGGGTCTATTTTCCTAATAAGAAACTTTGTGGATGCAGGACTTTTATATATGACGGAGTACTTGAAGTACAGTGCACTACTTCTATTCGAGTTAGACACCACTTAGTTAAAAGCATCACCTAAACTTATAAATCTCATTAGTGGTATTGGTCTTGCTCAAAGGCATCTCCACAAAGGCGGTAATGAAAAAATTTGCCTGCATAGCTGTTGGCATCAGTCTGCAACAACAGTGACTTTCGACCAGGCACATGTAGCCTACATGCAAGCGAACAAAATAATAACATTCATATTTAATCTTTCAATAGAGTAAAATAAGCCGTTCTATACAATAGATATTATACACTGGAGTCTGCTATATAATATGGCCAGCTAAGAACATAAAAAAGCAAATCCGAGCATTTATAACAGCGTTATTATACAAGGGACTACAACCCTCGATATGTGTTGACCTGTTAGAGGGGTACGATACCAGCAGGGGGCAGGAAAACATCAAATTGCACAACGAACCTCACAGATGAAATTTTCCAATCAGTCATTTCACACGTGATTAAAATGGACATTTTTTTTTTCATTTTCATCTGCAAAGGTCGTGCGCCAGTGTAAAGGAGGCATACAAAAACATACGCTGCGATCATTGCAGTGTGACGCAATTCGATGCTCGACTCAACTGTCGAATGTACAAATACAATTGTGTAATTTCTATAAAACATCTGTATCCCATATAGGTATTGGTCCTCACAGTGCCTCTAGGCCAATGTAAAGTTAAGAAACATAAAAACATACATAGATATGCCGTGATATTTAATACTGTAATTTTAAGCTCTCATTAACAGGTGGTGAACTGTCAGTTAAGTTTTGAACACAGGTAACATGATGGAAGAAGCGGAAAACACCGGGGGAAGGTACTCATGTATATGGATACTCATGTGAGTACCATACTATTTTATACTATTTTATATAGCTCATATTTAATACTAGTCTATTTTCCAGCTGCTCTAAAAAGTGTAATAACTAAAACCATAAACCATAGTATGATGCAATACTGCAGCGCTAGCAGTTAGTTATGGCACATGTACAACGCTACACGTACACGGCAATTTTGGATCACTAAAAACCGAGATTTTGAATACATTTATGATTTAAATTCAAATTTCTGTATTCAGAAAAGGAAAGGTGGGATTTTTTTGTCTTTCTTTGCCAAAGGTGTGCCAAAAGTGAGCCTAACTCCTTCAAAGGGATAGAAAAGGTTGATAGAAAGAAATAAGACAAAGGGGACAAGATAGGAGAGAGCAGAGAGAAGAGCCACACCTCCCTGATCCGGCGGGGTTCTTTTTTTTCCTTCTTTTTCTTTTTTTTTTGGGCTGTTTATCTTGTTAAGTCAGCCAGGAAGAAGTGTAGGGCCATTTTTTTTTACAAGTAAAGGGACTGGTGTAGGACCAGTATGCACTGGGGTGGGTCTATGTTGTTTTTTTTTTTTTTACCAGAACAGCAGAAGCAGCAGGAAACAATAAAAATTGATCCTTTGTTTATTGCTTGCCAAACTGGATAAATAAATCATAAAATGCAACTTTCAAGTTTTGGACATTGTACTTGTTTTGCCTGCGTACAAAGAATTACAGCAGCAGTGACTTGTTGATTTTAAATTGTTGGATGTTTGGTTGGACAAACAATGGAATCATGACTACACTACCAATAAGATAAGATAAGCCTTTATTAGGCCCACAAGTAAGAAGCTTTTTGGTCACTGCAGAAAGTACAAGTTAAGAGCAGTAAATATTAAGAAAAAGAAAAAAAACAATTCAGTAGCATAAGATAAGATAGAATAACAGACTATGCAAAATAGAATAAAATATTATATACAATAGAATAAGTACAATACATACAATCTGACAGCAAATGAAATAAGCAGAAATTCAGATGTAATTTTTTTGGTGGTATTTTATTGATTAATGAATAATTTGTTTGGTATTATTATCTGAACAAAAAAATACCAAATACAACTTTCACCTCAAGGTTCTCTTATACTGCAAAGGTAGAGACCCTGCAGTATTAGAGAAAAAACCCAGCAAAAATCCCTTTTGAGCAAGCCCGAGGCAACAGTGGGAAGGCAAAACTCCCTTCTAATAGGAAGAAACTTTCAGCAGAATCAGGCACAAAAAGGGACAGCCATCTGCTGCGACTGGCTGGGGGAGAAGTTCTTTTTACAATTTTATTTTAGCCAGTTATTTTTTGGGTTATATTTAAAATTTACTGGCCAATTTGAGGTGATCAGTTGTTTGTGTCCAATTGAATTTAAACAAGTGAAGCCCTAAATTTCATCTTTAAAAAAAAGTGAAATTCATGGCTGCAGTTACTTAAGGGTGACTGTTGGGTAAGAAACATGAAAAGATGGCTTTGCGTATTGTGGAGAAAAAACGTTTGAATATAGATGGTTTCTTTTTTGGGAAAAGATACTTTTTGAAATAAAAACAAAGCACCCCCTCAAAGAGTGCTTGACTCTCCGTTGTTAGAGTTAATAGTAAAGCTGGAGTCAGGCGCACATCTTTATGGAGAGCTTTGTAAATTTTCTTTTCCAGGTTTATAATCTTTTCTGGGTTATATTTAAGTTTTTCCCCTCAACTTCAGCCCAGAATTTCACGAACAACAACCTCTTTAGTGACTGGCAGAATTCTTTGTCGCATTTCATCTCCATTTTGCAGAAGAACCACTTAATAAGGTTCCCGGCCAGAACTTCTACAGCTGTTTTGAGTCTTTCATCCTCAGCTTTTAACATCTGCTGAGACACTTCTTCATCTGCAGAAGAATCTTTTGTGGGATTTTTCAACTCTTTGACCTCTGAATCACCTGTAAGTTTAGGCTTGCAAGCTGCAGAGGATATCTTTGAGGACTCAAGGTTTTGAGGTGATTTCTCATTCAGCTGAGGTAATACAACTTCTCCAATGTCATCTGATGAAAGATTTTTGAGTTTTGTGATTATGTTTATTTGTATCTTCATTTAAAGGAAGAAGAGCTTGTGTATTGGAACCACCACAGAGAAAGGGAGTGAAAACATATGTGCAGAGGAATGCTGTGACATACGATACTACTTCCTGTGTTAACAGACAAGTTAACGGTCTCTCTCTCTCTTTCTCTCCTTATAAGGGAATGTTTTGTTTTCTATACATACCAAGTTATCTCCTGTTTCAACGGACA